CTGTGTGCGGTGGAGTCAGCTGCGGACTGCGCCCGGGGCTGGGGACCGAGGGGCAGGAGTCCTGGCCTCCCCCCGCCCAGGCGGGGGTGTGTCATGGACCACCTCGGGGCGCCCCTCTGGCCCCAAGTCGGCTCTCTCTGTCTCCTGCTCGCTGGAGCCGCCTGGGCCCCCCCACCCAACATCCCGGACCCCAAGTTTGAAAGCAAAGGTAAGGATGCCTGTGTGGACGTGGGGACCTGAACTTCCAGCCTGGGGTCTTGGGGACCTCGATGAGTTCTGCACTTTCAGACTGGCTCCTGGGTCCCAAACAACCCCAGACTGGGTCCTGTGGCGAGGTGTGCCAGGGTCGCGGTCCCATACTGGGGGAAACGTCAGAGAGGAACATTAGGTTCCAGGGAGTCCTGGACTCGCTAAATCCAAACGGGGGATCTAGGCCCTACAATCTGAGTCCCCGAGGAGGGGGGACCAAGGGGACTCTCAGTTGGGGAGGGAGGTTAAAGCCCGGACCGAGTCAGAGGGGCCGGGCTGCAAGGCACTGTAAACACGGTTGGCGTGCGGGGCCCCAGATCCCTAGCCTTGCAGGGCGGAGGGAGGGAGGCTGGGGGCACGGTTGGCGCTATCAGGCAGCCAGGAGCCTGCCAGGGCAGATAGGGGGCTCGCCTCCTCCACTCGCGCTCCCTGGGCTGGGGGCGCGGACAGCGGGCGGCCGAGGTCTCGAACGCGGTGCATAGCCCAACCCGCTGTGGGGTGGGCGCGCGCTGGTGCGTAGTGGCGGGGGGGGGTAGTGGCGGGGACAGTAAGGCGTGCAGCCTGCGCTTAGGAGTTCGGGGTGCACCAGGTCTGTAGACCCCTAGAGGGGGCCAGCTGGGACAGCGGGAGGGCGGAGCTTTTTTCTTATCGGGTGCGCACAGGCGGCGGGAGGGAGGAGGAAGAGGCTGTGGCTGGAGGACCCGGCTCCGCTGCCCTGATCCCCTCCCGCCGCCCCTCTCCACCAGCCGCGCTGCTGGCGGCGGGGGGGGCCCAGGCGGGGTCTGGGCG